CCCAACCTATTGCTGTGGCCGCAATACACGCTATTCCCATGACCAACAAAACAACTTGGTCTTCAAGATCTTGACTCCCAATAAACGTTTATAAAACATAGTAGTAAAATATGTACAGGTAGTTTCCCCCTTCAAATGCAATTGTTTTAAGGATTTCTAACTTCTATAATAATAATGCTTTATCACCATAGTTAAAGTTACAAAATAAAGTCACATGAGTTGTTGAGTATCAGGTCATCAAAACTTATGGACATTCATTTTTGTTTATTTGTTTGTTTTGGGTACCGGGGATTAAACTCAAGGACACTCAACCACAGAGCCACATCCCCAGCCCTATTTTATATTTTATTTAGGGACAAGTTCTCACTGAGTAGCTTAGTACCTCGCTATTGCTGAGGCTGGCTTTGAACTTGTGATCCTCCTGCCTCAGCTTCCTGAGCCACTGGACATTTATTTTTGAGAGATGCAGATGGGAGGTGAAGACATGGAAGGTGGCCAAATGTGGTTTGTTACAACATCCCTGCTACAGGTTCTATGAGAGAATCAATGATGTAGGTAGGAACCCACCCATGATCTCTTTTGTGCCCTGTCTGGGGATCAGAGAATGAGTTTGGTTGAATTAACCAAAGGGTTCACTTTGGAGAGCAGTGGGTTAAAAATGCAGGGGGCAGAGGGAGACTGAAGTCCAAACTGAGAAGTTGGGTTTTCTCCTGAGAACAGTGGGTTTTGATAGACGTGATGGATAAATGACAGAGTAAGAGAAGGACCAGCCAGTGGATCTGGGGAAGGTAAATCTATAGAGAATCAATCAGATGGGAAAAGTTGGTGTTATAAAGGCATAGTAGTATTCAGGAGTGAGATAGTATGAATATAGAAATATCAGTAAAAGGAAATTATTATCATTGTCATTCCTACCATCATTATTAATAAGAAGCACTCCCAGAAATGACTCTGAATCATTCTAAAATATATGATCCTAAATGAATTTGAGGGATACTGGCACCTCTGGATACTAACAAGTTTTTAAATTTTTGGAGGAAAAAAATACAATAAAATAAAAAATTTAAAGATTGGTCAAACCATCTGAAAGATATGGGCAAAGCCAAATTTAAAAAATTTCTAGCAGGATCTATGAAATTTTAATATGCAAAAATATGCTCTTGAATTTTTGAAAAAATGATAGTGGATACTGCGTTTCCTAAACATTTTAATTAATTAGGATTCCCCCTACCTTTCTTCCTCAAAAATGCATCTTTCAGAATTTGTGGAAATGCCTTGAATCAAAGATTATTTTTAACCAAGATATTAAAGACCTAGATGCTAGTTCAATTATAAACGAATGGTGAACCTTAGACAAAGTTGGGCTTCTATTTCTTCATTTATCTCGCTGTCCTAGCTTGGGGGTTAAGAAGATAAAAAGAAACTATAGGGAAAGAATTGAAGCAGCTCTTATGGAGGGGTATGTCCTCTAACTGAGCTAGCAATTAATTGATGGCTACTCTGCTGAGTGTTCCTGTGCTATATAGCCCTCTAATGGCTCAGGAAATTCTCTAATGGGAACAAGATTAAGGTGCTGTGGTTTAGATGTGGTATCCTCCAAAAGCTCATGTGTGAGACAATGCAAGAAGGGTTGGAGGAGAAATTTTGATTGGGTTACAGCCTTAACCTAATCAGTGAATTAATCCCTGATGGAATTAACTGAATGGTAACTGGAGGCAGGTGAAGTGTGGTTAAAGGAAGTGGTTCATTGGGGCGTGACTATAGGGTATATACTTTGCATCTGGAGAGTCCAGTCTCTCTCTGCTTCTCATCACCATGTGAGCTGCTTCCCTCTGCCACACTCTTCCTCCTTGATGTTCAGCCTCACCTCAAGCTCTCAGAAATGGAGCCTGCTATTTCTGAATTGAGACCTCTGAAATCGTGAGCCTGTAAATTAACTTTTCCTCCTCTACAGTTATTCTGGTCAGCTCCTTTTAGTCATAGCAGTGAAAAAGCTGACTAAAACACAAGGTTTGGGATTTTCCCCCTGTTTGTAGTAGTTTACATACCCCATGTGATCACCTAAGACTGAATGTGCAGAATAGGATGGAAAAAGAAGATCCAAGAGAGTCAAATGTCCTCCTTCTCTTCAGTATGTCTCACCTCCTCAAACATCTCCTCCCACTCCAAAGAGTGATGCTGGACTTTTATGCTAAGATCTAGAGTTTACAAAGCAGAAACATGACATTCTTTTTTAAATTTTTTTTTTAGTTATACATGGACACAATATCTTTATTTTGTTTATTTTTTATGTGGTGCTGAGGATCGAACCCACTACCTCACACGTGCGAGGCAAGCGCTCTGTCACTGAACCACAATCCTACCCCAGAAACATGACATTCTTAAAAACTGTGTGCAGAATAAAACAGAGCTTTGCTGACAGAGGAAACAATCCAAGGGCCATACTCCCTTAAAGAAAGCAAAGTGAGCATTACTGTTTATCAGCTATGTGTCAGATGCTGGCATAGAGGCTTTGAATGTTATATGAGTCTAGAACAGTGGACCACAGAAAGAGTTGGCTTCAGCCAGTCCCTGGTTTGAGTTTTAGTTCTATCACCTACAACATATGTGACTTTAACCAAATTCTTTGAATTTGCTGAGCCTCCTATTTTGCATTTTTAATATGGGACCACTCTTTAGAGTTGGATTGACTATAATGTGATATAGAACAGGGACAGTAAAGCTGCATGTATATAAGTACTCAGTAAATGGTAGCCTTCATTATTACTACTAAATTTTGTTACCAATTCAACTTCCAACACAAATGAAAGAAGAAACAAAAGACTGAGGTTTAAAATGGCAAAAATGTACTTATGAAATTTGCTAAGTAGAATTTTACTTTCAAAGGCAACAGTCTATTCCCGCCCCCCACCCCCACCCCCCTGCCTGGGTTCTGACCTCCCCTTTTAGATAATGTTCATTAGAGAACATTGCCTCTGTTGTTCTGTGACTTTTCTAGAGGGTACTTCTGTGTCTTCCATCTTGTTTTGAAGTGTCAGAGTTTGCCTTTATCTTGTGGCCAAAAAGTCCATTTGTAAACAGCACAACCTACATATTATCCAGCACCCAGAGCAGAGCAGGCTGGAATGCTGCTTGTCTTTCTCCCCTTTGCCAATCCCACAATCTCTGCCAGGGGCTCAGTTCTCAGCACATTCTTCTTTAGCCTACAGAAAATCCAACCAATTTCAGAGACAAACAGAAAACCGCACGGAGTCTAAAATGAATGCAAGAATGATTTGCAAGGTGCAGGGCAGATATTTAAAATTCCATATCGTTTCATATGATTTTTTTTGTTTTGTTTTGTTTTTTGGAACCTTCAGGGGAAAACTGTCATCAAGAAAAACTGCAAACTGTTGCCTTGATTCTTTACCTCCCCACAGTTCCACTTACTTCCTCTTCTCCTCTTTCTTGGTTCTCTCTCCCTCCTCTGCTTCCTTCCCTTCCTCCTGATGGTATCATAAGCACCAGTGTAGACTTCTATTCAGTGCTTGCTATTTGCCAAACACTTAGCTAAATACTCAATATATACTACATTCTTTAATCTGTCCCACAAAAACCACAATTTACAGAACAATACACTTTCCAGACAAGAAAAAAACACTGAGAGGCTGCTGCCCAAAGATTACAATGTCTTCAGTGACAATGAGTGGGTGATGCCAACCATTTCAATGGAAATGGTTCTTTTTGCAACATAAAGAGGCAATGTGAATGGCGTTTGTGTTGTTACCTTAATGCCTATGTATTATGAGGCAAAGAGTGGATGGCTTCAATTATGTCTCCATGTGGATTTGATATACCAACTTTAAAGTAAGCTTAATATTCTTTTAAATGACTTTTATTTTGATTGAATTATGTACTGGAATTCATTCTTGTATGTTTTTCTCTGATTGGATTCTTTAATAATCATTGGGGCAAAAAGGGAGAAAGTGGAATGCTTTATTTATTTAACTTTTTTACAAATATGTGCAGTCCAACATAGATCACGCTTTTGCATATACATGATTTTCGGTTTGTATAATGCACATGTCAGTATTGTTTGTGCAAACATACCACAAACCATATTCCCTGGAGTTAATTTTCACATTACAAGAAACTATAGAAAGTCTGTGGGATGTGAGGCATGACTATATTATGGTTTTGAAGACTGTATTACGGTTTTGAAGTTCAGTAGAACTGGATTTTAATCCAGGCATGGTAACTTTCTGACTATATGACCTTGGGCAAGTTCCATAACTGTATGGAATCTGTCAGATTTCCTGTTTAAAATAAGCAGGGGTTAATGATGGCTACCTTCCACAGTTACTGTGAAGGCTCAATGAAGGAGTACATGAAAAGGCTTAGCTCACAGTACACACTCAACAGAAGCCAGTCTCCTTCTTCCAACATGACTGCCAATTGTGTGACAATGTCCCCATCTGTGTCTATCCCTACATGGACCCATCTCTAAATAACCCAGTGTGTGTATGTGTATATTTACTTGTGTATGATTTCTTTTTTTGTCAGTGGTGGGGACTGAACCTGGGGCTTCACACATGCTAGGAAAGTGTTCTACCACTTGAGGTACATCTGTGTGTGTGTGTGTGTATGTGTGTGAACACATTCATACCCACATATGTAATCATATAAACACACATATATGCCACCACATGTATACCCTTCAATATAGCATCAAATCTAAGGAGGTCTGACATACCCAACTGTACTCACTACAATCTTTATAGTACTCCATATAAGACTTTGCTTAAGGAGGTGAGAAAGCTACCTCTAACCCTCTGCCCTGGGAACAGTACCCGTGGATGCCACAGATGTGTGCTAGCGCCATCTAGTGGGAAATCCCACTTTCTACCCTGTAGTATATATCATGGAAGCTCCAGCCATTCCTCCATCTTACCATTTTGGGAGCTGCCTCCATTACCCCAAAGAATGTCCATGCTCAATAAGCTCCTCTGTATTTCTATTTAGGTTTTTTCCAGTTTTCCTCCTGGGTGTTCCTGAAAGTGAATACATCTCATTGAATATTCCCACCTCTATCTAAGGATAAGGAAAAAGGCTTGGAGCTCCTCCATCCCCTGCACTAACAGAACCTGGATGACGGTGAGTACTCAATCATTTCTAAATCCACATCTTCATGAATTTCCTAGAAAGGAAACTTTACATCCTATAATGTGACTTCCCAAATTAATTCAGTTTATATATTTTTTTACTGGAAAAAAATTTTCTTTCTTTAATTTTGGCCCACAAAAAAAAAATGCAAGAGGTCAATTTTTTTTTCTAAGAGATGAGATGACATTGGTCTTCTTATGGCTATAAAGGAAACCAAATTGATATAGAAATTAGTACTGCTGTCTACTGTTAACCCGTGAATGCAATTGTCATTTCCTTTACCTGGTGGATTTTATACACCAAAAGGATTAATAATAGTGGAGTAAAACTAGGTCATTGGAGTCCTGTCTATGTAGTCAATTGTACAAATTCACTATCCTGTTCAAAATTTTGAAGGTGACTGAGAAACATGGATATAGATGAGGTAAGGAGTAAAACTAGCTTATATCTTGTTGACTGGTTAATTAGACCAAAGAGCTAATAAATGCTATTGAAAATCAGTCAAATCATTATCAATGTTCCAATGAAGTGGACCATTTAAATTACTTATCCTATTTGGGCTGCTCACTTAACAACAGGACATATAAAGTTGGGGAGAAAATAACCTGTGGTCCTCAGGCTCCAACCCACTATCCTAGACTTCTGCTAGGACCCAGGGACATTTGAATTAGTCTGATTTACTACTCACTGCTTTACTTTGGTCATTCCAATACTAGTGCTATATATGTTTCCTACACTTTCAATAAAAATGGTAGAGCTTTCTGCCTTATAATTCTTAACCTTCCAGGGTAAAAGACAGGGTGTAAGTAGAGAAAGGGTAAATGAGAGTTAGAAAAAGGCAAGATGAGGTTCATTGCAGGAATAGATTTGGCACAAACTCTCTGCTAGTAAGTCAAACCAAACATTGTGGAAGAAGATAGGAATTTGGATCAGAAATGGAGTATTCTACCTTTGTTTTGTGCACATCAAGAAGAATTGTACGAATTTACTCCACCTGTCTCATAGTGTGAGAACTTCGCCCACTTGAAAGGGTTGGGTTTGTTTCAGCAGAGGTAAAATGCCCAAGTTTGCCTTGTGGGCCATTTGTTTCAAGGGCAGTGCTGGGCAACCCATGTATCTGGAGGGAAATCAGAATCTCCGTCTCTGGGTTGGAGAGATAGAAAAGGAGGAAATGGAAATACTATGGTTGCTTTCATTATATTTGAAGTTACTTATTTGTAAAAAGGATCTTCATCGACTGAATGCTTCAGTTTCCCTAAGTGTGGCCACTCTGTTCTGCTGTCTTTGTTGGAACGTTAGGTTCTGTATCTAATATTTCTTGCTGCTGCTCAGAAATCATTGTGACTACATTGGTCTTTATCGATAATTTTATGTAGCACAATCCATCACCATGTTGGATGTTGGGCAGGGAGGAGGGTATTACTTTGTCTTTCACTCAGTGTTCAGACAGCTCTTCTATTGATTTCTTGGCTTGCATGTTCGTTAGATGATGATTTGCACTTTTCCTGTATTGTGTTTGTCCAGATTATGTTTCACATGCGTCTACAACGCATCATCATTAACAACAAACATTTATTGAACATTTATGGGCCGTGGATCAGTCTCCAGGCTAGGTACAGGGGATAATAAGAAGAATTTAATGTGATCCCTACACCCTGGAGGGTTTTATTATCTATTGGACCACGTTTGTTAAAGAAAAAAAGATACCTAATAGCTTGAGTCCAGTGAATACCACAAGCAATACATGCTGTTGGAGTCCAGAGAAGGACTTGATTGTGTGGCTGGATGGTCAGTATTTAGAGACGAAACTTGAGTGGCTTCTTAAAAAAAGAGTGAAGGCTCTTTTTATGGGATACTGATTATAATGTATTTCTGAATACTGTTGTGCCAGAAAAAGAAGTAATGCTTGTATCTTTAATCTACAATTGCCTTGTTAATTATTTATGAGCTCGAGACTAAGAATCAATATTCACCTGCATTCTGCAGCGCTTCTTGTAGAGTTATAATGTTAATAGTTGTGTACACCTTGTCTTGTGCATAAAGGAAAATCTGGCCAGGCTGCTGAATTTGTCATTAAGACTTCCCTGGCCTACTTGTCAACTTTTAAGATTGTCTTTTGCTTTGTCTAAAATTTGAGTAGCCCTAATCAAAAAAAAAAAAAAAGGAAATTCAATGACTTCTTCAAGCAAAGTGAAATGGAAGGTAAGAGAATAGGAAAGAAAAAAAAAGTGACTTTCCTGTGGATTTGCTGCACGGATTGGTAAAGAGAACTCCAAGTTTGACCTGGGAGAGGATAGTAATGCCCCAAGGGAAATATCCGTTTATGAGAAGTCCCAGCCTTTTCCTCTACAAGAGAGAGATGTTCAAACAGTTTTGAAAATTGAAAACTTCACTTATTACTTTTGTGGGACTTTACTGGCCCAGACAGATATTTGCCTCAGCTTATTGATGGAAAGCTTCACAGAAGGACCATCTGTGACCAGGATTATTAATATTCTAAGGGATAAGCCCTGTGTCTTTCCTAATACCAGTTTCTTTTTCTATGGCTGCCTTTGTGATTTCTCCTGTGATATTCTTTTAAAAATATCTCTGTTTTACAATATAGTTGGGCTCTGATGGAATGAGAAGCAAGGAAGAGGTGAAATCCACATTTTCCCTTTCCCTTCCTTCATATAGCATATATTTCAGGGCACCTGTTTCAAACAGCATGAAACACATCCAGGAAGTTCCAGCCTACTTCTCAAACACATGAAAAGGGATATCCTTGGTTAAATGGGTCAAAAAATAAAAGAATAAGTTTTTTTTTTAAAACTGTTCTCTCTATTCCTATGCATGGTATAAATTTAAATTGTCCAGTTAAAGGCAACTCAGTCTTTTTAATTTTCAAGTCATGTTTAGGTGCAATCTGTCTTAATTTGGGCAAATATTTAATGAATTTGAAGTATAGATGTTTGATCAAGAATATTTCCCCTTTCAGAGAAAAAAAAAATTTTTTCTCTGTTCCATCCCAAGATGACTGGATATGTGCAGGGAACATTTTCTCTGCTGGCCACCAGAGCGAGGTTGGTTTGTTCTATTCCTGCCCACTGTGGCTAATTTCATCTGGTGGGTTTTTGTTATGTTGCTATTGTTTGTGATTGTGAGACAGTGCCCACAGCAGAAGCCCAGAGTCATTAAAGTAAATGCACGTTGGGGAGGTCCTTGCATTTTTTTTTAAATCCTTCTCATTTAATGCAGTGTTGCAAGTCTTAGCATCCCTGTCATCCCTCACCACCTTCCCAAGCTGGAGTCAATGGGAAACTCAAGGGGCTCCTGCCTGGAACATACAAATCCATGGAATCAGAGCTCTCTCCCAGACCTACCTATTTAAGATGTCTCCTTGGCATTTTAGACCTAGAGAGGCAGAGCAGCCCAGGTGTTCTAAAAGATCTTGTACTATCTAGTCAGGTGTTTCAGTCCCATCTTGACTTGAAGGCTTTGGAAAGTTGGGGCCTTTGTTTCTCCAAGTTTCAGACTAGATTCTTACCCTGGAACAGGCACACAAAATCTTCCTCCTCTTCCTCCTCCTCCTCCTCCTCCTCCTCCTCCTCCTCCTCTAGAATTACTTTCTCTTCTTCTGACCTGGAAGGAACATCCCTTCTTGTCTCCATTCTCTGTACTGTGTGGTAGGGTAAAATGCTCTCACTGGGTTTGCCAGGACTGGCTTCTGACCTGGAAAGGGGAGCTTTTGGAATTTAAACAAATCTTTCTCTCTTGACATATCTGACTGGCTTTCAAAACTTTTTTTTTTCTCTAAGGACTCAAAACCCAATTTTCCTCCTTTTTCTATTTTTAAACAATCCCAATCATTCCCAATGCAATGGATGCCTTTAGCCAAATATGGAGAGGACACACACACACACACACACACACACACACACACACTAATTACCTAAAACTGCTGAGTAAAATGGGCAAAACAGAATGGTTATAAGAGTGTGATCATAGTAAGAGTTAAAAAGTTAGCCCACAGTGAGTTAGAACAATGATGCATGGCTTCTGTAGGCAGGGGAGCTTTCTCTGGACCCTAAAGATGGAAGAGTTAGGGCAGGTGTGAAGAAGAAGGAATGTTTCCACAATCAGTCTTAACATCTGTTCCACATACCTTGAAGTTCTGCATTTATAACTCATGCACATCTCTAAAAACAGATTGTATTGTCCCCAAGTTACTCTTGGATTTGTCTTCCTATACTATTACAAATTACCTGAGGCCAGGATAAACACATTTTGTATTTGTGTCTGTAGTATTACTTAGCCCTGTGTCCTCTTCTGTTTTCAAAATTGAACATGTTAAAATATTAGAATTTAAAAATTATCTTCCCCTTAGCTGTTTCCCCCAAAGTTACTGTGTTGCTTTATCTCCTTTATTATAGAAGAATATTCTGGAAACAGATATCTGTATAGAAATTGCCTTAAATATCCTTTAAATACCAGCCATTCATTCTCCTTTTTCTTCTTAATGTCTTTTCCTTCTGACCTGGGGATGCCCATGAGGTAGTCTACCTCAAGTTCTTCTTTATTATGGTAAAACACGGATAATTTAAAATTTACCTTTTTAACCATTTTTGGATGTACAGTTTAATGCATTAGGTATGTTCACAACACTATGCTACCATTGCCACCATCCACCCTTAGAACTCTTTCGGGAAACCCCCACTCTACTTTCTGTTGTCAAGTAGACAGACTACTTACTGTAAGTACCTTGCCGAGATGGGATCGTACAGCACTTTTGGTACCTGTCTATCTGTGTCTGGTTTCAATCATTTACCAAAATGTCTGCAAGTTTCCTCCTTATTGCAGCAAGTATCAGAATTGCCTTTCTTTAAAAGGATGACTAATATTCATGGTAGGGACATCCACCTGTTGTCTGTCGCATGAGGGTTTGGGGAAGATACAATGCTCATCCCCTGGGCATCTGCAGACATACAGACATCTCTGGGTGTGTTTTGTTG